GTTCTTATGTTCACTGGGTTCAAACTTTGTTCTGGAGAAGGAAAAATACTAGCAAACATGTTACAACCATAATTATTACGAACTATCCATGTAGATGGTACCATAAGGAAAAATTACTGATCCCTGTTCCAAGGACTTGTGAATCTAAACCTCAGCAATGGGAAGGCTGGGTAGGTTAGCAATGGGGGAGAGAAGTGTTGTATGGGAAACATTTCAGTCTAATCAGACAAGCTGCTCTTGTTCGGTTACAGATTTGAGTACAAGAATCATTTCCTCTGATGGACGTGATTTCCATTAGTGGAGTGAGAGTTCTCCACTCCCATTGCAGCCCAAAATGCTCCCCAAAATACAGGTCCTGGAGAATAGGGGGACCCCTAAAAACTGCATGATGGCCCTGCCCTGGAGATCCCAGGCAAGCCCAATATTGTCAGATCTTGGAAACTAAGCGGGGCTGACTCTGGCAAGTATTTGTATGGGAGACCTCCAGAGAATACCAGGGCCAGGAGGCCAGAGGCAGGCTATCAAGCCACTTCTCTGAATGTCTACCATGCCCCAGTAAGAGTTGTCAGAGGTTTCCATGACTTCCAGGCATGAGAACACACACAAACTCACAAATGCAAAAATACCCCCCCCAAAAAAGAAAGAAACTGCATGATGGAGGAGTTGGGTGTCTGCTAAAGGACAGGAATGGGGTGGGATTGGTGCCTCCTTCATTCATGGAAATTTTCCACTGGATCCAAGCCTTTATGAATAACCAGTATTTGGAACTCAGATATATTTGTGTAATGTGGGTTCTCTTTACTTGGTTTAATATAAGGTTACCGTTTCCCAGGTCGGGGCGGGTGTTCCCCTGATTTTGGGGGCTTCAATCCATTGCTGGCCCTCTGGCTGGTGAGGGAAGCCCCACCCCTGAACAGCCCCCTCCCACGTCAGCATCATTGACGCAATGACATCACCCCATAGTGACTTCATCCCACTGTCGACATCGGGGGTGATGCTCTAGTTTTTGGGCAAACGCTACGGTTTCGAGGGCAAAACCACATAGAGTTTTGCCCCGAAACTAGAGCATTACCCCCTGATGTCAGCAACATGATGACGTCACTTCCAGGTGATGCTATTGTGCTGCAGACGTTTTGCGCGCGCAGCAGAAGATCTTGATGAGGTCCCAGGAGCCACCCACTGGATCAGAGGTAGGACCTGGCAACCTTAGTTTAGTATCAGATTGTCTTTCACAGATAATTAGGATCCTCATGATTAGTACTAATCAGGGCTATTTTGGGGCAGGAACGCACAGTAATGGAGTTCCGGCTGACTACCAAGTTGGCCACGCCCAGCAGGAACTCATTAGCATAATAGGCCACACCCAACAGCAGGAACTCATTAGGATTGGCTACATTAGGGGTGTGTGGCCTAACATGCAAAGGAGTTCCTGCTACAAAAAAAGGCCCTGGGTTTTGACCACAAACAAGGTAAACAGAATAAGAAGCAAAAGGTGGGTGTGGCTGGATGACCACACTTCTGGTAACATGGGGGTGTGGCTTAATATGCTAATGAGTGGTGCGGTCAGGGTGTGGCCTAATATGCTAATGAGTTTCTGCTTCTGGGTGTGGCCTATTATGCTAATGAGTTCCCGCTGGACTTTTTCTACAAAGAAAGCCCTGGTACTAATACTTTAATCCAGTCAGGTTGGGAATATGTTGACTATATTGCTGAATGCCTCTTTACCTGACGTACCTTAAATTGTAGACATTTCAGTACAGCAACACACTTATTCCAGTGCAGGCCAAAATGGACTTTAACTTGGGAGTGCATGAAGAGCACAAAGTAAATTAATGGTAACCGAGGCCTGTATTTGAGGTATCCTGAACTACTATTCTCAGGACCAAATTGTGCATGAAGATCTGGATCCATGCCTAGACTTCTTGAGTTGCAAAAGGCAGCTGCAGGGTAGCTGATATAGATCTGACTGGCTGTGGTATTGGGATAGGTTTTTTAAAAAAGTTTCTCTTATTGAAAATGCCCCCTTCGGACTGTTTGAAATTCTAGTAGCAAGTACAAGGACTAAAAAGCAGCCTGCAAGAGCTTTTTTTGATCAGGACAGCAGCATGGAGGAGGAATTAACCCCTTCCCCAGGATCCAAATGTATATTGCCATCCCAATTCTATATTGACTTTTTGCAACTAAATGTAGTTGAGCTGTCCATCTGTGTAATTCACTCTTCTTTGAAGCTGCATGAATGGACACCTAGAGAAGAGGCAGGGCTATTTTTGGGCAGGAACGCACAGGAACGGAGTTCCTGCTGGCTCCCAAGTTGACCACGCCCAGCAGGAACTCATTAGCATAATAGGCCACACCCAACAGCAGAAACTCATTAGGATTGGCTACATTAGGGGTATGTGGCCTAACATGCAAAGGAGTGCCTGCTACAAAAAAAGGCCCTGGGTTTTGACAACAAACAAGGTAAGCAGAATAACAAGCAAAAGCTGGGTGTGGCTTGATGAGCACACTTCTGGTAACATGTGGGTGTGGCCTAATGTGCTAATGAGCTGTGGTCAGGGGTGTGGTCCAATAGGCTAATGAGTTCCTGCTGTTGGGTGTGGCCTATTATGCTAATGAGTTCCTGTTGGGCTTTTTCTACAAAAAGAGCCCTGGAGAGGTAAACATTCTAGGCTGAGTTAGGATCTTGAAGCTTTCTTCCCTTATAAGCGAAGGGTGGATTGAGTGTTAGCTGGCCAGAAACTATCCAGATGTAGTATGGGGAAAAGATGATGCCCTCACCATCTCATCATCCAAACATGATTTGGTAACAAGAAGGCTGAAAAAGAACTTTGTTCTTATGATATGTTCTTGTCCTTGGTTTAAGAAGGAGTAAGAAGGGTACATAAATGTTATTACATGGGCTGTATCCCCCCCCCCCGAGCCAAAATAATGAGACATACAACTGTTTGGAGTCAAACAAGGGCCACTTTATTAACTATTTTATTGAAAAATCACTTAACGGCAAGGGAACTAAGTGAGAGCAGAACAGGCCAGGCAGGTGTCAATTCAGCCAACCTCCTTGCCTCAGGTATGGGCAAGTCACCAGCCTGGTCTAGGGCCAATCCTCTGGCCAGCCACCAGCCGCCCAGTGCACAGGTCACCCCCCAGGAGCGCCTACCCCTGATGTCCTACAGCCTGCAGGGAGGAGCTTACCTAAGGGGCTCCCCGAGGTGGTCACCATTCCCAGCCCTAAGCCCTAAAGCCCGAGGGCTGTTCCTGATGACCCCCTAGTTCCAAACCAGAATTGGCTGAAAGTGCTTACCGGTTCTGCTTTCTTTACCCACACTACTCTGCCAAAGTGACCAACCTAGTTAACAGCCCACACCTATTGCCCGTTCAGAGCCCCCTCCCCCATGCTCAGTGCAAGGTAGGCAAAAAACACCTCCATCCAAAGGCCAATCAGGATGAAAGCGAAAAATTCCTACCCGGCCCCAGCAAGCGACCAGCAGATGCCTACACCGAACACAGGGTGGATGGGTGGGCTGAGCACGAGGCAACGAACTGGTGCGGGCGGGAACGGGGCCGAGCCTATAAAGGCAAAATGGCCCGCGCGCTTTATCGGCGTCGCCAACAGCATGCGAGCCCAATTCTCTTTGTGGCGTTGGTTGCTGCGGCAAATGCAGAACATCGAAGGAGCATCTGCATGGAGGTTTTCCTCAAACTTTCCTTGCCCCAGCCCTGTGGTGACGCCACCCATGCCATGCCACTAGAGGACTTTTTCTGCCTCTTTTAAATTGGGGGGGGAGGCAGAGAAAGTCCACTAGATCCAGGCGGTATCTGGGGATCTCCTGGGATTACAACTGATTTCCAGGCAACAGAGATCAGTTCACCTAAAGAAAATGGCTGTTTTGGAAGGTGGGGTCTATGGCATTATACCCCACTGAAGTCCCTTTCCTTCCCAAGCCCTGCCTTACCCCTCCCCACCAAGTGTCCAGATATTTCCCAACCCGTAGCTGGCAATCTTACAAAGGAGTGGTAATCACGGGGGGGTCTGGGTCAAGGAAAATGGTGCCAGTATGGGTAGAATCTGGAGGGGGAAATCCAATCCTTCCCATCCACACAGGTGGAAACCTGTTTGGCTGTGATTCTTTAAAGAAATTATCCCAAAGCAGATTTAGGGAGCATCTCCGCAAACTAGGGGGTGGGGAAGCAGAAACTGTGTTACTTCATGGGTGGAGATTTAGGGAGCATCTCCGCAAACTAGGGAGGGAAGCAGAAAGTGTGTTACTTCATGGGTGTATCCTGAGAGGATCCTGAGTGGGAAAAAGAATGCTTCTGTTTGGGACTCGTGGCAGAGTAAAACAGCCATGTGGAAGCAGCCAAAGAGATTTCGTTCTAATGCCAGTATACACAACATCAGTATACACAACATTCATTTGTAGAACAAATTATTTGGTGCACGGACAGTGGACCCCAGAGTGAATAACAAGCGTAGAAAAGGGTCCATGAGCCGAAGTCAAGAAGTCTGAGCTACCCTTATGCATCAGTTCACGGAAAAGCAGTTTACTGAAATCAGTTAACCTCCATTTATGCATCAGTTAGCTGTAGCACATACAGCAAAAGACTTTTCCAAGCTCAGAAGATTTTTTACTATCTGACAAGATTGAGCCTTTGAATGCCTCTCTGTGTGTCATTATCACCTGAAACATTTCTAAACACGTAATTATTCCTTTCTTATTTTTCAAGGATGCTGTGCTTTGTGATCTGTAATAACAGAGTGAGCATGCTTGGGTCTAGGCATTGCATTTAATGTTTTGCCAGTTTGCCTACTAGCAATCTCTGGAGCAAAAGTTCCAACGTAGAGCTGCAAGTCTGTGCCCAGCAAACTCCTTTTGTGTTTGCAGATGTTTAGGCTTAGAGCAGTGTTGTGGAGCACAGGCACTGTTGAGGCCATGTTTGCACTTGTCTGCTGCTATTCTCTGCTCATTGTCTAAACCTGTATGCATTGTTCTTCTTGACAGGTGATAACTATCCTGTGCAGTTCATTCCGTCAACAATGGCAGCTGCTGCTGCTTCTGGACTCAGCCCTTTACAGCTCCAGGTATGTGCCAGAACAAAAATATGTGGGCTCCAAGCCAATGCTTTAGTGGAAAACTGCTAACCAGCTGTATGCTAAGTAATGGCTTGAATGTTAAGTAATTTTTTAAGCACAGCCCCAGAAGGATTAACACCTTGTGTACTTACCATGCTGCAAACAGAGCAGTATGCTGTCAGCCTTGATAATGGGAAACACAGCCCGTTTTGCATTATTAGTTGTTAATTTTGGGCACGATGCAGTTGTTTTTTAAGCACCTTTTCTGTCTCAGTAGGAGAGTTTAGTACGTTTCAACCCTCTTCCACCGAAATCGGTCCGGTTCAAAATGCTTAACATCATACCTTTATAGAGGGAGGGAGAGGGCAAGCATGCAGTCATTGAACTGAAATACAAGTTCAGCACATTGTATTTCTCTTAAGCTTCCTCAAGTGTGGCCTGCTTGGCTCTTGCTGTTTGCAGTGGGTATCTGAATAAATGGTTTTTATCCTTTCTTTTGGGCTGGGTGATGACTGCTACACACTTGCGGCTTCTGTATTTATGGAATCTGTCTTTCCATGCGTTAAGTTGGTCGGATGCCAGCAGCCATCAGGAGTCTGAGTTTCGTCCCTTGCTAGGTCATTTATTTATTTTTGTCATAGGGGGAACTAAATGTTGTGTGAAAATGATTTACACTCCAATTTATTATATAGCTTTTTAATATTCCCCAAGAAAAGGCACAATAGTGTCAAATAATGAAGTGGAAGTTGAAAGCTTATAAAGGGGGTGTGCTTGATCATCACACTAGAGGTTAGCTCCCGGACATTTAAACGGTGTAGTTAATACATTTTATAACAATTATCACGGAGAAGAGTTGATTCTATAGTAGCAAAAATTACTTTGGCACCCGAGAGACAAACGGGGTTTACTGGGACATTAGTTTTTCAGGTTACACAGTATGCTCTGGTTAGTCTCTGAACTTCTTAATCCTATTGTTAGACAGCTGTTTTTCAAGTGGTACCGCATACAGTTTACTAGAACGAAGTCCAACGCAATCAAAACAGAGGTTCTAGTGATAAGCTCCATGGTTCCACAAGATAGTATCCAGTCTAAATAGGGTGGCATTGCACTCCTTTAGAGTGAAGATTCATAGCTTGATGGGAGTTGTTAGATCAGTCCTTTACTTGGAAACCCAATCGTGCATTTTTTTGGCAGCTTAATTAAACTGGTTGTGTCAGCTTCATTCCGTTTTGGACAGAGATAGCTGGCCACCACATTCAGTGCTCTTTTACTATCTAGGCTACAGTGCTTTATATATATATGGGAGTGTCCTTAAAGGCGTCTTGGGAACTTCCACCGGTTCAGAATATGGCTGACAGATTATTCTTTGTGATAAGGGGTTTTGAACGTATTGCTCTAACGCTAAAAGATCTACACTGACTGCCAGCAAGTTCCCAGGGACAATCTAAGGTGCTGGTTTTTACTTTATAGCCCTAAAGGAGTTGAAGCTCTGAAGGAACTGAACACTTGTAATCTCCCTCTGGATGGTCAGGCAGCCGCATGAGGCCTGAGAGGCAATGGGCTGTTCCCAGTGGCCCAAGTGGAAGTGAACACAGCTGAGCCGGAAGTGACAGACCACCGCTGGCAGAGGAGTGGGGCCTCTCCCTGTTGCCCGTGCCATCAAAAGGAAGCAGTAGGCAGGCATGAAAAGGTTGGGAGGCAGAGCCATGGAGGGCCCAGAACGTCTGGGGTGAAGGCAAATTTTGGGCTGATGGCATGGTTCAGACTTGGGGGGTCAGTGGGTTGGTACGGTCAGGAAGTCAATCCCAGCAGTTATTACAGCAGCCAGAATTTTGTATGCGGGTAAATGGAAAAATGAGGAAACTCCGTCTAGGGAAGGAGTGATCTCAAGACTGTTAGAGGTGGCGGAGATGGAGAAATTAACTTTTTTTTTCTACAGGAAGAAAGGTTTTGAAAAATTTGATGAACCCTGGCCAAAATTTTATAGATGGTTAAAGGAAAGAAGGTAGGGAAGAATAGTTGAATTTTGCTGATGGTGATTAATTTGGATATGATAGATATATGTGAATATAAGTGAATATATAACAGTATATAATTGTTTGGTTATGACAAATCAGATAAGAAAACAGAAAGTTAATACTTTGTGAAAAATTGGAACGTATCTGCAATTAGATGTGTTGATAAGGGATATTTTGTTATAGTAAATTTGCTAAAATGCTAATAAAGATAATGTTAAAAAAAAGGAAGTCAATCCCAGGAGTGAAACACAGTCCCGGGAATGGGGGATGGGCCAACGGGCTGGTCTGGGAAGGAGCCAGTGAAGGGGAGGGCAGGGCAGCATGCAGGAGGAAAGCATACCAGTGTGAAGGGGTCCACAGGGAGAAAACAATCTCTTAGAGAAAGTGTGAGATATTGTAAAAAGACCTTCACCAGGGCTGAAGTGGAATTTCAGGGAAGTACTGTGCCCATAGGTGCCAGGGACCCAGTCTGAGGCCACTGGGAGATGTGACACTCCCTTATGAATCTCAGGTTTTGAGATCGACATGCGATATTGTATTCCAAAACTCACAGTATTTGTGATCAAGTGGTTGGTGAGTCTTTTCAGTAGTGTTGCACGAATTACAGATTACCTCTCCAGACAACTTTATTGTATTTGTTTATGTTTGTGTGGTAAAGTATAATGATACTATGAAGTGGCAAGTTGTCTAAGACAATTTAGCGTATAGTATGCCTGTTAAAGGGAGCTGCGGTGGCTCAAGTGGTTAAGACACTGAACTGCAGGCTGTGGAAGGTCAGTAGTTCAGCAGTTCGAGACCCGAGTTGCTGCATGACGGAGTGAGTTCCTGTCTCTAGTTCCAGCTCCTGCCAACCTAGCAATTCGAAAGCAAGAAATTGCAAGTAGATAAAAAGGGAACCACTTTGGTGGGAAGGTAACAGTGTTTCGTGCGCCTTGGTGTTTAGTCATGCTGGCCACATGACCACGGAAATGTCTTCGGACAACGTTGGCTCTTCGGCTTTGAAACGGAGATGAGCACTGCAACCCTAGAGTCGGACTCGACTGGCTTTCGAGCAAAGGAACCTTTACCTTTATGCCTGTTAAAGGAAGTTGTATCTGGCTCTCTTGATTGATGTATTAGTTTTGTTGCTCCATTTATCACTTAGTATTCTGGTTGATTTTAATTCTGATTTCTGTTGTGTGCCACTTTGTGGACTTTTGAATGGAAAAGTGGGTGAAAAGTTATATATGACTAAATAAACATTGATGGCCAATTAAACAGGGCACCTGACTGGAAACTCTTCAACAACAGTGCCCGGAGATTTCTGTACAAGTTTCTGTTTCTCGTGGTCAGAGCCCAAAATAACAAAGAGCAAGTAATGAGAAATAGAATTCTCAAATGATGTATTTATTCAGTGCTGTACAGGTTAATTTTCAAAAGAGGGACCACATTTGAATGTTCCTTAATCTTAGATCAGAAGCTATACAACCCAGGAACAGGCATAAGGTGATACTTTGTCTGTTTTAGCCTTAAAGTTCTTTTTCAGTTGTCACGTCCTTCAGCTGTAGAAGTCTTTCCCTCCAAGGAATCTCTTCAGGAGCAGGAAATATTCTCAGTGGCCATAGATACCTTTTACAGGTGATCAGGCAACGTAGTTTTCCCTTGACTGGAATCACTTCTACAGTAAGATAGTATATCAGTCTCATTGGGACATTATGCTTATTAGGAGCCAGGAGGACTTTTAGGCGGAGATTGTGAGCAGTGTTCCCTCTAAGCTGAGTTAGTGTGAGCTAGCTCACAGGTTTTTAGCCTCCAGCGCACACATTTTTGTCTTACCTCGGGAAGGATGGCTCCAGAGCGAACTAATTTCTGCAGCAGCCAAATCGCTTGCTCACAGTTTTAATGCCAGTAGCTCACAAAGTAGAATTTTTTGCTCACAAGACTCCACAGCTTAGAGGGAGTATTGATTGTTAGTAGGGATGCCAGCCTCCAGTTCCCCTGAGGAAAGCGGATGCTTTGTAGTGTGGACTCTATGGCACTGTGCCCCACTGAGGTCCCTGTCCCCCCCCCCCAGGCTCCATCCTCAAATCTCCTGGAGTTTCCCAACCTGGATGTGACAAGACTAATGTTTGTATACTAGAAAAAAAGAATGATTTCCAGCACAACCTGGGTAGTTTTTAAGGGGTTTCTTGTTGTTGTTGTTGCTTCTCTTTTAAAATGCACAGTATGCTCTTTCTGGGACCCCTGAATCTCACAGGTGGAGTTGCATGCATCTATGGGGCTTTAAAGAACAAAAAAATGTTTCTCCATTGGCTACAGTCTACATGGAAACTGGGTTGAGGGGATGGAAAAGTTAAAAACACCATGGGTATGAACCCATTTTAGACTGATTATTGAATCTCCTATAGAGATTTTAATGCAAAGAGCAGTCCAATGGAAACTGTAAAATGTGCCCAAGAAGGAATTTGCACCAATTGTTAGTATTAATGTTATATTATTGAAGAGTTCAGTGCTGCTATAAAATTAGTATTTAGTATTTAGTAATGTCCTTATGGGAACAATTATTTTCTCTAAAAGTATGTTTTATTGTGTTTCCATATTATAATGCTAAGGTACCTTTAATCAAAAGTCTAGATAACCTTCAGTTTCTTTACTACACTATTGATGGTTTCTATTTCTTCAGGTACCACAGCTTACAGTTCCATCTGTTAAAAAATATTTGTAATAATTGTTTTAATAAAATGAATACCATGTATACATTTATGTTTTCAAATATGCCAAGCACTACAATTTTAGTGTGAACTTGTACGAAAGATATTTCATGTTCTTACAGTAGTAAAATAATTGTTGGCAGGGCTTTTTTGTTGAAAAAGCCCAGCAGGAACTCATTAGCATATTAGGCCGCACCCTGACAGTGCAGCTCATTAGCATATTAGGCCACACCCCATATTACTGGACATGTGGCCATCCAGCCACACCCACGTTTTGCTTCTTCTTCTGTTTACCTTGCTT